ACACTCCATAATTATGTTGACAATAGGCTATTCTGCTTGAATTAGAGTTATAATTTTAAATGTAATAATTTAGACTAACATTTAATTGTCCGTCCGGCCGGCTTATCCGCTATTGGGTGCGGCGGCGGCGGGGGGGGGCAGCAGGAGAATGGATGTTGGATGGATGGATGTTGGATGGATGTATGTTGGATGTATAATGGATGTAACTCTCATTAATCTGGTCTCTGCTTCACGTTGTGTTTCGTCCTCCTGCAGGACAGTGTAGTGGAGTTCACCTGCTTCGACCCCGGCTGCTTGTTACCTGCCAACACTGACGACTATTGGACGTACCACGGCTCTCTGACCACGCCCCCTCTGACAGAATCTGTCACCTGGATCGTCATGAAGCAGCACATCGAAGTCAGCCACGACCAGGTGAGAGGAGTGTGTTTTACCAAACTGTCACACAGAGCAGGAATGATTGATTCAATAATTAAATATTATGTTTTCTTCTCTACATGGACTCAAAATGTGACTTAATGTTTTAAATGTGACAACAGGAAGTTCTATAAACAGGATGATCCTGGTTTGTAACAATAAAAGAGCCTCCAATAAGTTTATCTGCAGCTAAAGTTGAGCTCTGCTGCCCCCAAGTGGTCAAACAGTTTTACTGCAGCTTCAGGTTTTAAAAACAGGAAATTCTGCAGTTTTCTGCTGCAGTTTGTTACCAGCAGGTGTTTAATAACTTTAATTATCCATGAGTTCAGCTGCTCTTTAATGAGTCTGAACCTGCCATGTTTGTAGCACAGTTTAATAAGTCAGACCATTTATCTTCGTCTCTCCTCCTCCTCCTCTTCTCAGCTGGCCGTCTTCCGGAGCCTTCTGTTCACCTCGGCTGAGGAGGAAGTACAGAAGAGCATGGTGAACAACTTCCGGGTGCAGCAGCCTCTGAGGGGTCGCACCGTGCGCTCCTCCTTCACCCCCTTCCTGCAGGGGGCGCCGTCAGCCGGAGGCAGCAAATAAGACCTGCTGAGACCCACAGAGACCTGGACTCACAGAGTCTTGGACTCACAGAGTCCTGCAGGCCAACCTGAGAACAGGTCTAACTTCTAACAGCTTCTTCTGAGAAACGTTGTTTTAATAAAACTGTTAGTTTATTAGAACTGATGAAGACTTTTGCACAGAGGATGTTAGAAGTTTTTTGTTTCAGACTGAAAACAACAAACATTATTTAGACTAATATAAATAATATTTATTAGACACGTTCAGTTAGTTGGCTGCTGATGGTTTTATCATCTGAGCTGTTGTTTGTTTGTTTGTTTGTTTGTTTTTGTTGGATGGGCCTTAATCTAAATTTTCTAACATTTAGTGACTTTAGAGAAATCCTGAGTGTTTTGTTGTGTTTGCAGCAGATGAATGAGGAGTTTAATGTTACACAGCTCGTCTGACTGAGGCTCAAACTGTTGATTTTAAAGTTTTTTCTCACAGAACGCACAAACTGCTGGTGTTCCTGCAGCTCCGCTCCATCAGTGCCTCTCACTTCGTCAGGTTTCAGTTTTCTCTGGTTTAAATCTGCGTCCGACCCGGTTCTGTTGAACAAAACGCTGAAAGAGGCTCTGATAAGCTCCGCCCCCTGTTTGAGATTTCTGCCTTTTTTTTTTTTATTAAAGTGATTTAAAATGTTTTGTTTACGGAACCTTTCAGTGCCACTTCCTGTTTACTGAAGACTTTACCACATGAGGCAGTTTAAACCCTGCCTTCACCGTTTTCTTTTTGTTTCTCGTGGCGTCGGCGCCTCGTGTCAGCAGCTGAACGTTGTGTGGACTTCAGCTGTTTGTGTGGACTTCAGCTGTTTGTGTGGACTTCAGCTGTTTGTGTGGACTTCAGCTGTTTGTGTGGACTTCAGCTGTTTGTGTGGACTTCAGCTGTTTGTGTGGACTTCAGCTGTTTGTGTGGACTTC